AAAATTAAAATAATAATAAAATTAAAATAATAATAAGTAAAGGCTCACCCGCTGCGATATCATCATCCCCCAGGTCCTGCTCCTCCTCCTGCACTTTGCCCTCTGTGCCCACGGATTCTGGGCTGGCAGTGCCAGTCTGAGCAGCTTCTGTGGGCACTCCAGCTGCAGGGAAAGACCAAAAATCAAGAAATTCCCAGTTATATTCCCTGAAATGGGAAATGACAGAAATATGTTATATTCCCAGTTATATTCCCTGATAATATTGGAATTATTGAAATACCACCTGCTGAAATATCTGACTTCTCTGAGTTCAAAAAAATGGGAATAACACCCGGAAATTTATAATAAATCACATGGGATAACATTTATAGAACTTTTCACCAAAATGATTTTTATTTCATGTCAAAAAATACTAATATTAAAAATAGAGTTAATTCCCTAAAAATGTGGCTTGCAGTGAGTCTGTTCCTTTAGAGAACTGATTTCCCAAATCAATTTGGATTTAACCAAGATTTTTTTTTTCCAGTGGGGAAAAAAAAGCTCATTTCAGGAAAAATAAGCACTTTGGGGTTAAAAGAGAGGAAAATACCCATTTTTCCTGGTTTTTTTCCCCCCTGAAAATTCCAAACCTGGAGGTCTGTTGAAGGAGCCAGAGTTGCTCCGATCGCCCGGAATGACCTGGTTATGAATAATTCTGGATTCCCAGCAGGAAAAAAAGCTGATTTCAGGAAAAATAAGCACTTTGGGGTTAAAAGAGAGGAAGATATCCATTTTTACTGGTTTTTTTACCCCTGAAAACTCCAACCCCGGAGCCCGTCGAGGGGCGGCTTTGGCGAGAGTCGCTCTGACCCCCCGGAATGGGTTGATATATTTGAATATCCTGAATAACTGTGGGTTCCCAGGGGTTTTCCCCCCTGTTCTCCCTGTCTTTTGGCAGGTTTTCCTGGCCTTCCTTACGGGAGATGACGCTGTCCATGTACTGGGGCAGGTAGGGGGCCCAGGCGTCGATGGTCTCCTTGCGGCCCGCCTGCTCGATGCGCCGCAGCTCGGCCAGGAGAAGCGCCTGCGCCGCCTCCCGCACCTGCAGGGGGGGCAAAAACTCCCCTTGTCCCATCAGAAAGCCAAACTGGAAGACTTGGGGGTGGGAAAGAACGGTTTTATGAAGGGAAAGGAAAAGCCGGAGCCGGAAAAGTCGGAGCCGGAAAAACGCGGCGCGGGACCGACCTCCAAGCACCGGTCCTGCCAGCGGCGCGCCAGCATCTCCAGGAGAGGGGGGCGGAATTTTTCCAGGCCCAGCAGGTCCGGGAGCATCACACAGTGCATGGCTGCCAGCTGGCTCCAGCCTGGAAAACAGCGGGAAGAGGGGGGGGAGCGACCGGAGCGAGCCGAGCGGCGCGCGAATCGACTTACCCCTGGAGCACCAACATAAATAAATTATAAATAAATTATAATTATAAAGAAATGACAGCCACCTCGGGAATTATTATCCCTTTAAGGATCACGTGGAATTTGCTGTCCTGACTTTCCTTGGTTTTCCACCTCAATCTGATTTGAACCCGGGGGAATTCCTGCTCCGGGCCTGCAGAAACATCCGGAGCTCCAACTGCACAAACGCTTGGGAAATATTCCACAGGCAGCAATTATTTAGTAAGAGATTAAGAGATATTTAATATTATAGCCCCTGACTTGAAAAATACCTCAGGTGAACATATAAATCTACAAGTTTTCATTTCTCAGCAATTTTTAATTTCTTGGGCACAAAAATGTGAATTTTTTTCACCACGGTGCTAAAGAAATTCTATCAATTTTCCTTTGAAAAAAAGGAGGAACTTCCAGTTTAAGAGATGTGTGGAAGCAGGAATTTATACACCAGTGATAAAAATTCAGATTTAAAGCAACTTGCCCACAGGGTGTTTGTGCAGGAAGATGTTTCTCACAATGGCAATAAATATTTATTAGATCAAATTATCTCCAGCCCTGACCCCAAGTAGTTTAAATACATCCCAAGTCTTCCTAAAAACCACCAAAAATCAGATTTAAACGAGGGGAAACTTGCTTTTCTTTTGCTAAGAGAAAGAGCAAACCCACCCCCCTGGCAAAGGAAAACTCCTTTATAAATCAAATTAAAGTGTCCCAGCAGCGATAAAGGATTTTAGCTGAAAGGATAAATAGAAAAAGTGAGGAAGGAATACCTTCATTGACTAAGAAACAGGAATGTAAAGGAGGAGCAGTGTCAGAGTGCCCAGATTCCAGGTTAGAAGCAGCAGCAGGAGCAACTTGCAGAGCAAAAGGAGGAATAAAAAAGAGATAAAAAAAAGAGAGGCAAGTGAGGAAAAGCAGCAGAAAAATGGGTTAGTAATTGCTGGAGAAGGGAAAGAACCTTCAACTTAAATATTCCAACTGAAGGAGAAGGTGCAACTTAAAATATTCAACTGAAAAATTTCATATTCAACTTGAAAAATAATAGTAAACTAAAAAAACAATGGTCAACTGAACGAGAATTCCAGGTTTTCCCAGAAGTGAGAGGTAGACATGCAGCTGAAGAGACAGTGAGAGAGACTTGGATATTTGGGAAAGATAAAAAATCCCTGGGAATAAAGTGGCAAAAATTCCCTGTCAAGGAATGACTTTGTGGCAGAACCAGCACCTGGGAATGATTCTTAAAAAGGTCTTAATTGTTAATAATTTTATCTAGGTGGATATCACACTATTACACTACATTGCACTGCCTTTTCCTCCCATGTAATATTTGGATGCTCAATAACCAGGTGATAAATCTGGTGTGCCAGGAGCTGGAATGATGGATCCAAAGGTTCCAAAGAATGGGATATTTTACCTTGTTTAATTTGCCCTTGGCTGGAAACGGGAGGGGGTGGTGGCTTCGCTCTGGCCAGCTCGGGGGTGCCGGGTCTGGGTGGCCTAAACACAAAATATCCAGGGAGAGACAAACACAAAACACCCATGAGGAGACACATCAAAGGGTCCCTGATGGAAAACACACCCAACACACAAAATATACCCAAAACCCCCCAAAAGAAGACGTTCAATCCCACCTGGTGGGCCCCTTCTTCATGTGGTCGCCGATGAAGGTGGCGTTGGTCATGCTCATCAGGGTGTTGGCCAGGGAGATGACGGAGAGCAGGTGCTGGGTGGTGACGGCGCGGGACACGCCGTAGGTGCCCTTGCCCGGCCCCTCAGCGCCGGACACCTTCCCGCCCGGCTCCCCGCCCGCTCCGCCCACGGGCCGGTTGTAGCCGGGCAGCATCAGGGACATGTGGCCTCCTCTGGACACGAGGCCGAAGGACACGGAGCAGTGGGGCTTCAGCATTCCCAGGCGCTCCAGGCACAGCTCGTCCAGCCCGGAGTTGAGGCCCCAGGCGTGCAGGCAGGACATGAAGAGCTTGGCCGTGTCCATGGTCAGGTTGTACTCCAGCAGGGTGAGCGGTTTGGATTTGCTGGCGCGATATTCCGGGTCGCCGTCTTCCCTCCTCTGCCTCAGCGCGTCGTCCTCGTCGTCCTCGTCGTCCAGCAGGTGCTCCTTGATGTTCTCCTTGATGGTCTCCTTGACCTGCTGGAAGAGCACGGCCGCCCGTTTGCCGGCCAGGAAGGAGCCGCCCTTGTCGGAGGCGCCGGAGGCCTTCTGGAGGTTCTCCGGGGAGACGAGGGCGGCGTTGGGCCGGGACGCCTCCTCCGTCAGCAGCTGGATGATCAGGGCCTCCACGTCGAAGAACAGCACGTGGATGTCGGGGTCCGTCAGGTTGGTCTTGATGGCCTGCACCATCAGGGAATTGTGGGAGTATTTGGGTAAATTCCCCTGGAAAAAAAAACCAAGGGAACAAATGGAAATTTCTACGGAGAAACCCTCAAAACACAGAAATTCAACTCACGGACGTTTATGGATAAATAAAAGTTCTCCAGGGAAGACACGAGTTCACATTTCTTTCTCCTGGACTCCACAAGATCAGTCACATTCCAAGGAACAACAAAAATCCAAGCTTTTGTCATTATTATTAAACCACATGAAATATTTCAGGTTTGGAGACTGAACTACAGAATCAATTTATGCTGTCGGAGAAGAAGCTCCTCAAATTCACCCAGACACCACTTGAGGGTCATTCCACTCCTTAAGTCCATCCTCTTCCTCCTTCCCTTCCTCCCAAGGAGGGAAAAAAAAAAAGGGAAGAGGAGATAAAAGCTGAAAAAAGTCACGAAAGGAGACTGGAAACCAGAAGGAATAGCAGCACCCAAGGCTGAGCTCACGTGTTTTTATGGAATTAGGATGGTGCTGGTGTTCCTCAGGAATGTTCTCACTAAGGGACATTTCTTTCCAAGCAGGACATAACAGCAGAAGGCAAAAAAAAAAGGGGTGCTGCCCCAAAAGCCAGCTGACCTTATCGGAGGCCTCGGAAGCCAGGAGGTTGGTGGCCAAGGTCTGCAGCTTCTGGTGGGCCACGTTCTTGAGGGCGGCCAGGCTGCGGCGGGTCATGGCCTGCTTCAGGTTGACGGCGGGGTGGCTGAGGGCGTCCATGGCGGCGGGCACGGCCTCGTCACAGGCGTTCAGGATCTCCACCGCCGTGATGCCCATCACACACCGGTCCAGGGCGCCTGCAGGGGGGTTTGGGAGAGCCAAAATGTAAGAGGATGGTAAAAGAAACACATAATAGGCCTAGAGGTAATAAATTAAGATGCAGTAAGATAAAGGAGACATTTGAATAGAAGAAACAGCTCCCTCAGCCTCTCCTCATAGGACTTGTGCTCCAGTCCCTTCACCAGCCTTGTTGCTCTCCTCTGGACCTGCTCCAGCCCCTCCATGTCCTTCCTGAACTGAGGGCCCAGAACTGGACACAGCACTCCAGGGGAGGCCTCACCAGCGCTGAGTCCAGGCCAACAATCACTTCCCTGCTCCTGCTGCCACACTCTTCCTGATCCAGGCCAGGATCCATTGACCTTCTTGTCCCCCTGGGCACACTCTGGCTCCTGTTCAGCTCCCTGTCCATCCCCACTCCAGCTCCCTTCCTGCCTGGCTGCTCTCCAGCCCCTCTGTCCCAGCCTGTAGTGATGCCAGGGGTTGTGGCGAAAGTGCAGGACCCGGCCCTTGGCCTGCTTGAACCTCATCCCGTTGGAATCAGCCCAACTCTCCAGCCTGTCCAGGTCCCTCTGCAGAGCCCCCCTGCCCTCCAGCTCATCGACACTCCCCCCCAGCTTGGTGTCATCCAGCTCAGTGTCATCCCCCAGCTTTAACTCTGCCCTTGGAGCCCTCGGCCAACCTAGATTTGCCCGGATCAGGGACGGATTCCGGGCGTGCGGGAGCTCACCGGTGTCCATCTGCCAGACGTACACGGAGCCGTCGGAGCAGCCCACCACCAGGTAGTCGTCAGCAGGTCTCCACTTGATGACCTGGATGGGGAAGAGGTGGCGGGAGGCCAACATGATGCACTTCTTCTCCCGCAGGCTCAGCAGGCCCACCGAGTGGTCGCTGGCGACGGAGCAGACGCAGTGCTGCACTCGGGCCTAAATCAAAAAGAAATTTTAAAAAGTTATCTTAATCACAATGCAGAGACTGTTGGTATTAAAACCTTTTCCACGGTGAGCAAAATCAGACAAAAGGCGGTTTCCAAGCAATTAATGTCGTTTTGTTCATGAAATGGTACTTACTCAGCCACGTTATACGAGGCAAAATTGCCTTGGAAATTTACTCTTGGCAATATTTTAAATCCTTGATATAATTAAAACATGAGGAGAACAAAGCCATAAAACCCAGAATTAAGCTGTTTTTAAGATAACATAGAAATGTATAAGAATAAGATAATATATAGTGATGTATAATGCATGTAATTGTACACAGATAACATATATTATATATATTATATATATACGATATGTGCATATACAGGCTATATACACTACATATATGTGTATATATACTATATGTATGTATATACACTATATATATACACATATATAGGCTATAGATACTATACATATATAGATACTATATATGCATATATATACTATAGATACTATACATACACACTACATACTGTATATAATACTATATATCTTAACACACACAATAAAACACCTGATATATTATATTTTATGTGTACACTACATTACTATTCCTATTACTATAATAATAACAACAGCATAATAATTAAGCTTTTTGTTTGTTTGTTTGTTTTTTATTTTTAAGACCTTTTACTTCAGCCCTTCCAAGCGCCGGCTCCACCCCGAGCATTCCACCCTCCACTCCCCACTCACGCTGCAGTTGTCGGGCGGCACGAGGAGCTGGGTGATCTCGCCGCCGTGCACGCAGAAGATGTGCTTCATCTCCCCCGAGAAGATGTCCCAGACGATGACGGAGAAGTCCACCCCTCCCGAGACCAGGAAGCGCTGGTCGTAGCGGGAGGACACCTGGTGAGGGTACAGCAGGCACGTCACCTTGTTCCGGTGGCCCCGCAGCGTCCGGTGGGGCGGCCAACCTGGGGGTTGGGGATGGAGATTAGTGTTTTTTGACATTAAATAAAAATTGTTTTGGTATAAACTTCTACAAATGAAATCAGTTCTCTAAAGGAACAGGCTCACTGCAATCCATGTTCTCAGAGAATTCACCCTGTTTTTAATATTAGTATTTTTTTTTACATTAAGAGGAGGCTCAGGGGAGACCTTCTCACTCTCTACAACTCCCTGCCAGGAGGGGGGAGCCGGGGGGGTGTTGGTCTCTTCTCCCAGGCAACTCTCAGCAAGACAAGAGGGTTCAGTCTTGAGCTGTGCCAGGGGAGGTTTAGGTTGGATATTAGAAAGAATTTCTTCCCAGAGAGGGTGCTCAGCCATTGGAATGGGCTGCCCAGGGAAGTGGGGGATTCTCCATCCCTGGAGGAGTTTAAGGACAGACTGGATGTGGCATCAGCGCCACGGTCTGGGAACCACGGCGAGGTTGCATCAAGGGTTGGACTTGATGATCTCGTAGGTCCCTTCCAACCCAACTGATTTATGATTCCATGATTCCCAGCTTTCCCGTACCCCTGCGGAGCATGTGCTCTCCCTGGAGCAGCTGGACGATGGCGGTCTGGGTGGCGGGCACGATGACCACGCTGCCGTCCTGGCGGCCGCACACCAGGCGCCCGTGGGCCGGGATGTACACGCTGGCCGTCCCCCGCAGCGGCTCGCCCAGCCCGGGCCACCACGCTCAGCTGGTCGATGATGCCCGCGGGGCGAGGGCTCAGCTCGTCGAAAGCTTCCTGCAGGGAGATGGAGGTGGTGCTTGGCAGGCCTGGCAAAAAAGGAAGGGGAAAAAAAAGAAGGAAGGGGTGAGGAGGGAGGAGGATTTGAGCAGCCTGGGTTGGTAGATCTGGACGAGCTTTGAGCTCCCTTCCAACCCAAAGCATTCCATGATTCTGCACTGGAAATAAATGTACTGGCTACAAGGATAAAGCTAATTAAGATTTTGAGCATTGATGAAAAAATGAAGCTGCTGTAACTCTTAAATAAACCTAATTACGATTTTGATGGTGCGTTATCAAATCACTTTACTGCAACTCTTACAATTCAAGCCCAATGTCCTGGATATCTGAGAGAACCAGCAGGGCTTTGTCCAGCCAAAACACACCTAAAACTGTTAAAAGGCTGTTCATCGGGTACCTCTTGCACTCTCCTGCTGTTCCAGAGCGTCGGGCACGCTCCAGATGCACAGTCTCCCCGAGGAGTCTCCTTGGATCAGCAACTTGTAGGAGAACTCTCCCTGGCCACAGAAGAAGCGAGTGACTGGAGGACATATCAGGAGCTGTTAAAAAAATAAATAAATAAATAAATCAACAACTTCAGGCCACATGCTCACCTCAACAGTTTGCACTGTGCCTTTTAAAAGCAGGCCAGAAATTCCTGCAGTCCATGAGGAAAAACTCCTGTTTCACCTGTTTCTCTGCCCTGTCCAACACGCTGTAAAGCAAAGGTGGGATCAGGTTTTCCACGGCTTTCCCCACGTCCCTGCGGAACGAGTCGCTGGCTGGGAGGCAGCTGGGGGTGAGGAGGAGGAGAAAGGAGTCAAATTCCCAGGATTTAAAATTTCTGGCACAGTTTCATATTTATGTGCCTATTTTCAGTTTTTTGCACTGGCCCAAGATTTCAGTGTTTTTCCCCTCCAGATGAAATAAATGGGAGTATTTAATTTTTGCCTACCTGGCTGGTAATTTATAGATGAAACTTTGTCCATCCTCTGTCCACACAATCACTTTGTCAGCTGCCACAAAGTCCCCACCAGTCCAGGTCTGACTGTTTTCACTGGGAACTGAACATAAGAGGGAATAATCCCCAGCATCAAAAACCTGGGAAGAAACAACAAAAGGGGTGTCAGGAATCTAAATATGCATTAAATATGTAAATAGAATCACACTGAAAGGACTGGGAGCATCTTGCTCTGAATGTTTCAGGGTAATTTAATTAAATTAGGCCCCAGGGGTTGCTGCCTTACTCTCCAGTACTTGGAGCACACGACCAGAAGCGAGCGCTGGGTGAAGGCGCAGAAGGAAATGCTCTGACAGTTCTGGCAGTAGATGGGCTTGGATTCCTCCTCAAACACGGGCGTGGTATCCTAAAAACAACCAAAACCAACACCAAAATCATTCCTTTCCTGCTCAAATCGAACTCAGACCCCACGGAATAGAGACTCTGGCATTCCCTGAGGCGCCCCACAGTCGATTTCCGAGGGAAACCCGAACGCTCGGAGCGGTTCTGATTCCATTATTCCTCCTAAGAAGATCTGCAGGAGGCACGTGGTCTCCTCTTTGGTCACTTAAGTCTTCCAGATTCCCCAGCAGGATGGATTAGTGGTGCTGATTTAGTCAGGGAATCACCTTGCAGCCAGGTAGGAAAGTGGGATAAAGCAGATTCCACTCCCGTGGAATAAACTTAAAGAATAAGTTTATTTTTCCCTAAGTTGCTAAACATCTTTTCCAAGGGGTTTCTGGGAGGAGTTAATTTCCCAGAGGTCTGAAACGTGCAGTAAATCTCAGACTTTTATTCATTAGGACACAGGGAGTTGGAGATAATCCCAAAAAAGGAATATTCCTAAAAAAATAATCCAGCAGTTTACCTGGAGCCGACTGACTTCCGAGGTGATGATCCAGACTTTCAGGATGCCGGTCACGGAAACGGCCACCACGGTGTCCTCTGGGAAACACAGAAACCAGGATGAGATCCCAAGGAATTCTCCACTGGGTGTACAAAGACACCCAGGAGAAACTAAAACTTCAGGCCAAAAACAGCCCTGGAAGCCACCCAGGCCAGGAGTGAGAAATAATCACCTTGTGTCCTGTTGGATCGGATGATGCTCATGGAGCTGATCCAGTCAGGAGAGATCTTGGATATCAGGGAATAAAGAACTTCCAGGCTGGTGGCATCCACCACCAGAATTTCGGGATAATGCCCGTGGCATAGGAGCCTCCCTTCCCGCTGCGAGCCGACTGTGAACTGATAGAACTGCCAAGACACGGAAATTATACCCCGGGTGGGACAGGAATTCCTTCATTTTTAATCCAAACCAAAATGTTTGGATGCCCAGAGCTCTGGAATCCTTCCAGGACTGACCTGAATTCCCGTGTGCGCACAGGCCAGTTTGGTGAACTCGATGCATCTCCCATCGTTCACATCCCACAGGCACATCTCCCTAAAAACACCAAAAAAAACCTCCCTAAAACTCCAGGGAAACCAGGCCAGGCTTCCAAACATTTCAAAATCCCTCTACACTGGGAGGAACTTCATTGGAACCATTCCTTGCATATCAACTGCACAAGAAATCCTTCCCCCCTCCACCTTCTGATTAGCAAATAAAACCACTGAAAAAATAAAATGTATTTGCTGGTGAATTTTTTTTTAAGGATCAAAAAAAAATCCAACGCAGCCCCAGCATGGAAATACGGATAATTTGGGGACAGATTTCCATGATTTGACAGTTGTGGAGATCAAAACTGCTGGGAAACTCACCCACTCTCAGATGCACTCACTATATATTGTTTTTCACTGGAAGCTGAAGCCTTGGATAAACAAGTAACTGAGGCCGTGTGACCAAACAGCAGAGCTCGGGGATTAATCTGGGAGCAGGGAAAGAAAAGGGGAAGTCAAAATACCACTCTGAAAAACAGAAGACACATATGCCAGCTTTCTATTTTATATATTATATATCTATTAATATACACATATTTAATTAGCGTAGCTGTGGATATATAACCTTGAAAAAGAGTTTCTACTTAACACTGGAAAAAAAGGCAATTTGCAAACTCATATCAATAAAATCTATAAAGTTGGCTCAGTTTGAATGAAAAAATTGACAGGGGGGAACTATTGTTGCACAAGACAAGTTCTGGATATTTATAAATAAGGGGAGACCTCCAGGAGAGCTGGAGAGGGACTTAGGACAAGGGATGGAGGGACAGGAACAAGGGGAATGGCTTGGGAAGGCAGGGATAGATGGGATATGGGGAAAGAGCGGCGATTCCCGAGGGAATTCTTACCTGCAGGTCCGGGCTGAGGTCCCAGAGGCAGATCTGGCCATCGTGGCAGCCGGTGACGATGACGGTGGCACCGTCCATGAGCAGCAGGGAGGACACGCAGTGCGTGGGGGCGCGGCGGCCCCACAGCACGATGGGCAGCACCAGGCTGTTCCCGGCCATCCCGCCCGCCGGCCTGCAACAAAACAGCACCAGAGACATGGAACTGGGCCACGGGAAACCCGACGGAGCCAGTTTTGGGAATGCCGGATACGACAGTGACGGTATCTCCATGAGGGACCCCTCAGATCGCCCTCAGGGAGGGCCTTCTCCTGCCCTCAGGAAGGGCCTTCACCTTCCCTCAGGGACCACCTTTGCCTTCCCTCAGGGACTGCCTTCCCCTGCCCTCAGGGAGCCCTTCCCTCAGGGACCGCCTTCCCCTGCCCTCGGGGACCGCCTTCCCCTGCCCTCAGGAAGGGCCTTCATCTTCCCTCAGGGAGGGCCTTCATCTTCCCTCAGGGAGGGCCTTCATCTTCCCTCAGGGAGGGCCTTCATCTTCCCTCAGGGAGGGCCTTCCTCTTCCCTCAGGGAGGGCCTTCCTCTTCCCTCAGGGAGGGCCTTCATCTTCCCTCAGGGAGGGCCTTCATCTTCCCTCAGGGACCGAACTGCGTTCCTTAAACTGTCCAGGAAAAACATATCCCCTCACATGTTTGGCAAAATTCCACAGGCTTTTTATCCATCTAGGCCCCAAACAGCACATCCCTGGGCATGCAGAGAGTTTGGCCAAAAATCGCTCTTTTTGGAGTGATTTTGAACTAACAAATGTTTGAAGCCCCGGTTATTATATCTATGATGTTACTAGATCCCTGATATTAATACATCCCTAATATCATTACATCTCTGATATTATTATACTCCTGATATTATTACCTCCCTGCTATTCCGTATCTGATATTACTGACAGCATTAAACACCTGATTGTACAGATACACCCCTCAAAACACAGAATATCCTGGTGAAACCAGCCGTGTGAGATCCACTGATAAAGTGGATTTTGGCCGTTACCCAGCAGGAAACAGGTCCAGCCCTATCTTTATGGCAACATTTGGGATATCTTATAAAGATATTGACACAAACAACACGGGGAAATTGGAGCTGCCACGAGGCCAAAATTGTCTCGGTGGCCGGGAAGTGGAAAGAAAACAGAAATTCAAGTTGTGGCAATAAAATCCAGTTGCATTAGCACGAGATTTAAATCCCAAAACAAACCTCTGTTGTCGGTAGCAACATTCCCAGCTCCAAGTTTTCAGAACTGACATTTTCTTATCGGCCACGAGGTTGTGTTAAATAAATAACTAAACACTCCTGTTATGCTCTGAATGTCCCAGCTCATACCTCTGATTTAGAGGAGCACAAAGCAGGATTCACTGAAGAAATATTTTAAAATATTTTACAAACACAGCTCCCTGGAGCCTCCCACTTCACAAAATCCACATCATCCAGTCACTAAGATCACAAAAAATGCCACTTCAGAACAAGGCAACTCATTCCTCGGACTCTGGTAATTAAAAATTATTTCATTGAGAGCTTGAATTTAATCAAATTAGAAATAAAAGACCTAAAAATCCAAGTATGGAATCTTTTGGAAGCTGCTCCACTGCAACCCCCATCACCTGCCCGTGCAGTGTTAATTTGTTATGCAACGCTGGATCGATTGCTCTGTCTGGACAACCATGAATATAAATCACAAATAGAAAATCACAAATAGAAAATCACAAATAGAAAATCACAAATAGAAAATCACAAATAGAAAATCACAAATAGAAAATCACAAATAGAAAATCACAAATAGAAAATCACAAATAGAAAATCACAAACAGAAAATCACAAACAGAAAATCACAAATAGAAAATCACAAATAGAAACTAATTAAAAATTTTAACCAATACAGAAAGAGCCACGATTAAAAACCCTCCTTGATTTACAGCGAAATCACCATAAAAACAGAATAAACCCAGCAATAAGGTGTCCAGATGCAACAGAACAACAAAACCACCCAAAGCAACCAGAAATACCCATTTCACTCTTTTACCACCAGATTTTGGGGAGGAAATGAACCATAAATGACTAAAACTGAGTTGAAAAATGCCAATAAGCAACATAAAAGTCTCTTCCAACCGCTGATATTTCAAACCAAGGCTCTGGGGGGAGAGAGAGGGAAAAGCAGAACTACCTCTTTCCTTCTCCTTTTCTCCTGTGGTGCCTCAAGGCCTTCAGGAAAAGCTTCCTTTTGAGGAAAAACCACATCTTAATTCCCAAAGAATTCCAACTGCAGAGCTCGGCCCCTGGCAAACGGCGACTGCGGCCCCCGAGAGCACCAAAACTCCCCTTTTGTCCCAGACAGATCAATAATTCCCTTTTTTCACGGGAGCAAATCGACACTGTCCCGCTGCCAGATGGGCCAAAAAAGCAGCCAGGAGGTTATTCCACATGAATTCCCACATCCCAGCTATTTATAACTTCGGGAAGCCACGGATTCCGGCAGAAAAGGGAACTTCAGTGGGAAAAATGGAGTTGCCACTAGCAAAGTGCTTCCTGTTAATACTTCTTCAGATCAGCAAAAGAACCAAAAAAAATTAAAAATAACCTGTTCATCTGATAGAATAATCGGGTGACTCTCTGAACTGCTCTGTTTAAGGCTGGGATTTAGGCAGATTTAACAGTCTGGGATCAGCTCCTTATTTGAGTGAAGGCATTAAACTGATTTTTTGAAGTGCAAGATATTAAATACTGAAGCCAAGACTCACCTAAACACCTTTATCAAGCCAAGCTGCTCTTCCCAAACACTTTTATTGCCATTAAATGAGGAATTAACATTAGGATACTTGTGGACACTAAAATAACCTGCCAAAAAATACTGCAAAATAGCATTAAATAGCACAAACCAGCTATTAATGGGTTGTTTATGCATTTTATAAAAACTCGATTATTCTAAATTTAATTACAAATTACACTTTTTATTTATCACTCGGGCACAGAGAAAAAGGACTAATTGGGGGAAGACAATTAAAACACTTCCCTGGATACGCAGGAGGTTCCACAGCAAGGCAGAGGACGAGATAATAATAATAATAATCTGAGACTCCAAACTGCAGTTAATTGACCCCTCGGAAGCCCCATCCATTAAGAACCCGGGGCTTGTTTTGGGGTGAAACTTGCTGAAATCTGGACTCCAATCCTGGGCACCTGGAGAACTGTACCCCTGGATAACTGGGCACCTGGATA